AAGTACAGCATTCCCTGGAAGGGCTGTGTGTACTACAAGTCCTCTAATCAGGTGCAAATGCAGAGTGACTCACTGCCAGCATGCCAGAATATGACATTGGGTGTTGCTGATTTGCAAATCAAAACCCAAGGGATGTTATTCTTACTACCAACCCAGAACAGAGTTCCAGTTTGATATGGAAGGAAGATTCTAGCAAGCACCACTACAGGCTGGGTGGGGACTGGACTGAGAGCAGCCCTGAAAAGGACTTGGGGGTGCTGGTTGATGAGAAGCTCAACATGACCCACTTGCAGCCCAGAAAGCCTGGGCTTGCTGGGCTGCACCAAAAGAAACATGACCAGCAGATTGAGGTATGTAATCCTGCCCCTCTACTCTGCTCTGGCGAGACATCCCCCTGCAGTTCCACATTCAGCCCTGGGGACCCAACATAAGGACATGGACCTGTTTGAGCAAGTCCAGAGGAGGCCAAGAAGATGCTCCAAGGCCTGGAGCACCTCTCCTATGGAGACAGGCAGAGGGAGTTGGGCTTGTTCAGCTTGGAGGAGAGAAGGCTCCAGGAAGACCTTACAGCAGCCTTCCAGTACCTAAAGGAGTAACAAGAAACCTGGAGAGGGACTTCTTCAAGGGCATGTAGGCACAGGACAAGGGGAAATGGCTTTAAACTGAAAGAGGGGAGATTCAGATTAGACATTAGGAAAAACTTCTTCACTGTGAGGCTGGCGAGGCACTGGCACAGGTTGCCCAGAGAAGCTGTGGCTGCCCCATCCCTGGCGGTGTTCAAAGCCAGGTTGGACGGGGCTTGGAGCAACCTGATCTAATGTGAGGTGTCCCTGCCCATGGCAGGGGGTTGGAACTAGATGATCTTAAGGTCCTTTCCAACCCAAACCATTCAGTGATTCATGCAAGCTAGATCTCCATTATCCTCCCTGTGCCAAAGGTTTCCTTAGAGACAGAGGATAAGTATGAATTGTACTTGATGCCCTTTGGAAAATCTGGCCACACTGAGCAATCTGCTGCTGCTGGCAGCTATATTGTGCATAATGAAAATATGTCACCTCATGACAGTTCTAACTTAGAAAGTTTCAGGCCAACCTCCCTCTGCAAATGACATCCTCAAAGACGTAACACAGTCCCACACAGGTACCATTCCAGTACAAATAATCCGCACTGAAAAGCTCTAGAAGATCAAGCACCCAAATGTCTACTCCCACCATATGGAAATGAAGTTTAGTAATTACATCAAAACCCAGTTGAAACCAGTTCAACACATCAGTAATACATTTTCACTTAGTACTAATGCATTGTTTGTACTGATAACATCAAGAAGCATAACCACTTCAAACAGGTGAGGTTTCTTGGAGCTCTCCATTCTTGAAAGCGGCCTACATCTGAACAACATTGCTCAATACAAAGCCAAAAAGTTACTATGCTGGAATTTACAGACAGCCCTGCTACACACTCAATCCTTATTGTGCTTAGGTAAGCCGCTTGTATTAGCAATGCAAGGGACTTGCCAAGCTACAGCTAGAAGTAGCATCCCATTGCAAAACCCACCTATATTTGCTGCATGACAGCATTTCATCGACAGCAGGGCAATCAGATTTCAGTGTTTTCTGGGGTCTAGAAATATCTATCATCATAGTACTTCACAATTGATATGGTTGCTTACCTCACAGGGTTGGAGATTTCATGGGTCATGCAGAAAGGTGATCTAGCTGAGGTGACGGGAGGCTTGGGATTTTCAAAATGTTCTTGCTAATGTCCCTCATAAAAGCTGAAGTAAACTGCTGTGAAATAATTGAAATGGTCCTTTCATAAATCAGTTACTGACTACAGTAATAAAAAGTGAGAAATTACCAGTGTGTCCCCAGAGGGATTCAGGTGGAGACTTGCAGATTTGAATATTTATCTACTGTTTTGTGAGTAGCAAGCTGGCAGTTTGTTGATACTAAATAACTTACGATCACAGATGTGGAAAATAGCTGCAAAAAGAATCTTGTACAGTACTGATTGCCTAGATAAAGCAACAAGGGAATTTCAAACGTCAAATGCCAAATAGAAATACAGTCTGAACTTCTCTAATAGGGTCAGAAGTAGCTACTACTAAGAAGGAACATTACTGGTTCTCTTTCTGGAACTGATCACAGGTTCTTTTCTGCAGTACTTCATTTAGATCTGTATGAAGAATAGTGTGGTGTTCAGTGAACGGAACTTTCAAAATTATGAGGAAAGAATTTTTTCTTATTTCATAGGACCAAAGATACAGATTTTTTGAAAGTTGAAAATAATATGGCTGAAGTGTCACTGTATGTTGTCCTGCTCCTACACTCTTCCCAAGGCACCCGCTAGTCTGACCTACTACAATCATTCTTAGAGGTTACACCATTTGAAATGTGGCCAGGTGTGCAGTAAAACTTTCAGATGTACACGGGTACATATAGCTTACAAGCAAAGTAAGAGGGCAGTTTGGGGAAAGTGTGTTCAGTATCTTTGTGTCAAGCTTTCAGCCTCAGAAATAACAACTTAAAAGGAATTTTAATATTACTTTGTATTATGTGCACCTTCTCTAATAAAAAAACCTATTATTTTCCTGAAAAGATTCTCCTGATATTCCGTCTTAACTAGACAAATTCATCAGTGTTATCAATTACGGGCAAAAAGTACCAATTTTACGCTAAAAAAAGACACAGCACCTAACTCATTCAGTGATTGCTCCAAGTATCACTGTGGCAAATGTAGTTAACTCCAGCTGGTAGCTGGTCACAAGTGGTGTTCCCCAGGGCTCACTGCTGAGGCCAGCTCTGTTAAGTATCTTCATCAATGATCTGGACCAGGGGATCAAGTCCACCCTCAGCAAGTTTGCAGATAACACCAAGTCAGGCATGAGTGTTGACCTGGGGAAGGCTCTGCAGAGGGATCTGGACAGGCTGAGGCTTGCATGATGTTCAACAAGGCTTAGTACTGGGTCTTGGAAGAAAAGGAGACTCAGGGGAGACCTTACCGCTCCCTACAACTACCTGCAAGGAGGTTGTGGCAAGGTGAGTGTACTTAATGCCCTTCTAACCTGGATGGCGGATAAAACACTCTCGACAAGCCTGTTGATGATACCAAATTATAGACATTACAGAGGGCCACTGCTCAGTGGGAGCTCAACTCTTGAGAAACAGGCTGACAGGAACCTCATGAACAAATGCAGAACGCAAAAATGAACCTCAAAGGCAAACACAGTGTCCTATACCTGCAGAGCTACTCTTTTTTTTAAAGGCCAGATGCTGATAGGATAAAAAGAAGCTCTGCAGAAAAAGACCAGGGTATCTGAGTGAACAACACGAATCAGCAGCATGTACTTAGAGCAGAGGTGGCCCACAGCACACCAGGCTGTATAAGCAAGAGTACAGTCAGCAGGTTAAAGCTACCTAAATGGAAAAGTGTGAAGATGGTACCAGACTTTGAGGTGCACAAGCAAAGTGCAGAGGAAACATAAGAAATACTGATACATGTAAGGAAAAAAAATTCCTCATGGTGAAAGTGAGGAACCATTAAAACAGGTTTTTCAGAGAGGTGGTGGACTCCTCTTCCTCAGAGATGTTCAAGACTCAGCTGGACAAGACCTGAACAACCTGCTCTAATAGGACCTGCTTTGAGGTCCCGACTGCACTAGGTAGCCTCCAGATGTCCCCTGCATTCTCATGCTAGTTTTGGCTATGATGAGTATATTCAAACTCTGTATACTACATATGAGATAACACTCACATTCTTAAAGCAAAATTCTCAACTGAATTCAGCTGTCCATTCAAAATGAGGATGAAACTAGTTGTTTTCATTTGGCCAAACTCATGTCTGTTTCCCAAAGTTCTCATTGAAGTGAAGTTTAGTAAGAGTATCAAAGCACATTAAATGGCCTATTGCTTATACTTGTTTGTCAGCAGTAATGTAAGAATACTTTACTATTTTTAAAATGTTTTATAAATTTGCCATTAGCTTCTGCTACTCAGCATTATGGAAGACTTTGTCCAGTTTTAGACACCCTCCCCTCTTCCCCTGCACTCAGTACAAGATCCTGATAAACTTGAGCAAGGGCAGTGGAGGGACATCAGAGAAATGAAGCACTTGCTCTGTGAGGAGAGGCTGAGGGAATGGGGCTTGTTCAGCCCGGAGAAGAGATTAGTTTGGGGGTCCCAACAGCAGCCCTCCAGCACCTACAAGGAGGCTACCAAAATGAAAGAGCCAGGCTCCATCCAAGCATAGCAGAATGACACACAATAGTCATCAACTGCAATATGGCAGGTCCTAACCATGAATTAAAAGGGGAAAAATATCATTAAGCTTTGTAAGAGCTTGAACAGAGAGGTTATGACATCAGTCTTTGGAAGTTTTCAAGACTAGCTCAAAGGCCTGAGCAAGCTGGTCTGAATGCAGAGCTGACTGTGCTTTAAATAAGACACCAAACTAGAGACCTCTCCTTGGTCCCTCCCACTTGGATTCTATGGTGCCTTGACCGAACTGGACATCCAGCTTAAGGAAATGGTACTTTGTTTAGATTAAAAGATGCAGAATTGACGGGAGAGATGACATGCAACTTTCAGCTAGCCATCAAAAACGCTACTACATTAATCACTGCCAGTCAATCAGACAACTCACAAAAGGAAGAAAATATTCAGATGCTATATAAAAAAAAAAAAAATAATAAAATAGCTTAGCTGCTCACGCAACCTCTATCAGATTTGACTGTACCACCAAAAGCAGCATCACGGTAGATTCTGCATACCCATAAAAGATGTGGTCTCTTCTTCCATAAAGATTTTGCTGGAATGTCTTGCCAAGTGCACTGACTGCACCTCCCCTTTTTTGTTAACAGTAGCACAAATGTCACTGATATAATATTCCTCTTTATGGACTGTCCAGACAATGTAGATTCTGTCACCCTGAATTGCAATAAACCGCATAAATCATTTGATTCATAAGACCATTTCACATACACTGAAATAGTAAAAGGTGCATTCTGTGTATTTAAGAGATTAACAGATTTTATTGTTTTCTAAAATATTTTACAATACAGAGACCCAAACCAGTAATTCCTGATAATTTTAATAACCGTCTTGTGGATGAACAATTATGTTGGTAAGTTTTCCTTGACAGACATATACATACATCCACTTTCTAAGCTTGCACATTTTGGTTCTTTGAAAATGATGACTAAATATACCTATAAGCTCAAAAGCAAACAATAAAGTCCAAGACTACCAACAGTGTTTCATAATTACCTCAAAATAGATTTGTTAGCTTCGTTACAGTGTAGCTTCCTAACATAGCATATCTACTTACCTGATACTTGGGGTTTGTTTTTTTTTTTAACCACAAATCTGCTGTAATTTTACAACCCAGTTTAAATGTAACAAATGCACACTATCTGACACGATTACAGATGGCTGAGCTGTAACTGCAAACAAATGTAGATTTTACAGTGTTCTGCTACAATAATCCATGTAAGGACTAAAGCTAGTTTATACTTTGACCCACAGATTTATCCACAAATACTGATTTTGAGTATGTTAGTGTATTTACTGTACTTCTGAAAACCTAATAACAGAATACTTTGTCTATGGTACAGTAATGAATATGGCAGGAAAGCAGATTTAAATATACCTATAATTTAAACTCTTAAAACAGTCTAAATCTTATTGACATCAAAAGGCTTGATAACTAATAGCCATGCTCTTTATATTTTGGAATATCAAATTATATGTACATATACACAACATAGATAGGCTCTTAATAAAAAGCATTTAGTCTATTTTACAGTCTTCTCTGTTCAAAAAAATTAGCCTTCACAGATTTAACATTTCAAATCATCCAAAAATCATTAGCAGTTTAAAGGAGATCATCTTTTTTCCCCTTCAAACATATGCTGGAAATAGCTACTACTCTGGGGCTTACACATAATTTATCTTTCTTTTGAGTGCCATTTACGATCTAGATGGAAAACTCTTAGTTTAAGCGTCAAACCACGTAAACAACATTCGTAATAGAATCCCAACCCATGACATCTGCAGATCTCTCTGCTACAAATAACCTTCTGTAACAGATATTTATTAAATACAGTATTTGTTTTACAACTTCAAGCCATGCTGACAACATAGAAAGATTACTACAACATGGAAAGAGTTTTCATTCAGTCAACTGGTGACTAAATCTATGTCATAATTTAAGTATTAATTGATAAATCCAAGCATACGAAAAGGTGCTTAACTACATAGCATTTAAATAAAAAAATACTGCATCTTTCAGACATCACTAAGAACAAATAGAAAATTAACTATAATAAACTTTAAAATTCAAGTTGCAAGTTACTGAAGGTCACTTAAAATAACTGATTAAACAAAAGTGAGCATAAGCCACATACCTAGGGTAGGATGAGGCACGAGCATAGAAATGCAAAAATGTTTAGGATTCACGATAACAGACCACGTGGGAAGAAAAAGCTTAAAAATATTTTTCCTATCATACCATTTTTTCAACCTAACCCCTCTCCTTTGCATTGTGCACAAGCTGTGAAAACAGTATCAAATTATTAGTTCAAACATTTGTCTTTAAATCACCATGATTTCAGCATCAAGCTTTTGCCTTTTCATTAAAATATATACACTCTATACATCATTCAGCTTCCTCTTACTTTAAATATATACTGTACAAGCCTATGAGCTTTTGTAACACTTCTGTATTAGCGTTGTCCTTTGTCACTGGATTGGTTCTACATAGTTTGCTGGGTATAAGCCAACTTGTCCATTGTCCAGGCGTCCTTTGCACCAACCCTGCTCATCTTCATTCTCCATTTTAGTTAACTCATCCCCTGAAAATAGAAGGAACATTGTTAACAAACTGTAACCTTGTCAGTAACAATAGGTAGGTAATATGACAGTTACCTGCATGTCCACTGCAGACACCAAGATGCGGCATATGAGCAAATGAATGTCCACTTCAGCCAGGCAAAACCCACCACACTTAGTAATAATTATTTCCTCACGTACAACTTATTTGTGTC